CAGTTCCAATCAGTAAATTAAGATATTTTTGGTAATTATCCTAGATGGAAAGTTCAAATTATATTATAGCCCCTTCCACCTCTTTTTACTCCAGCAGGGGGGGTCCTTGTCAAGCCACCCCACCCCTGTTCCTGTTCATGTACCACAATTAGAATCTTAGCATTACCTCATGTCTCAGGAGTACCAAAGGGGGAGACAACAGGACCGGAGAACAAAATAGCTCAGCAGAACAACATATCTCAGGGGTACCAAAATGCCTAGAGATTATTCAAAGAATAAACAAGGGAGAGGGGGCAGGGGGGGAGCAGGGGGGGGCGGATAGGGTGGTTGTTTAAACTTTACAGACTAAGTAACAGAGACAAACATAGGAGACAGGTCTGCAGGTATAACTATAACTATACAAGGGCCTGATCTACTACTAAAGTTGGTTGGGGGGAGGAGAAGGGGGGAGGATAGGGGCTAATTGGGTAGGGGGTATACAAAGTACGTATACAGGGGGTATTGATACGACTGATATCGGTAATTGTCTATCTTCACCGTCTTTCACACCGTTCATATAACACTCTTACACTCTTGCCCTCTTGCATGGATTCCTAGAGTCTCATCTATCCTAAGTAAGTAAAGAAAAGAAAGTAGTCTTTAACCAAAGATCGTTGTATTCGTTGTGGGCTCTCAGCAATGAGAATCTTCAAGGGGCAACCGTAGTAGTTTTTTCCGTCTCTTCCCCCTCTGTGCTTCTCTGATCCTCTTAGATATCCAATAGTATTTAATGCTGTATGAGTTTATTAAGTTACCAATAGAGAGTCACCCGCGAAATTCAAGCAAAATAAAAGTCCCAATTTAAGAGTTCCAAAGTAAAGGTCCAAATTTAAGGGTTCCAAAAGCCCAAATTTGAGAGTTCCAAGATAAAAGTCCAAGTATAAATCCAAACGTGGGTCCACGCCAAGTACTAACAGGAGTACGTGCAGCTCAGGCAAACAGTCTTTAAACAATCTTTAAACCTTCTGCAGGTGAGAGCTCAGTTAGTTCATTTAGTTTAATCAAAAGAAAAACCTTCCTCCTTCTGAGCATACACAGTTCGGTCGTTATGAGTTATTCCGCTTTCTTACTAACCGTGATTTCCTGAGCCTGCGCCATTTTTGCTCTCCGTCGGGTGGGGACCATGCTTAAAAAAAAACAGCTACTGTCCGGACTCACCCATCTCTACTCCAATAATTCAGGTTTCAGTCACGATGGGGTTCCGTTTTTAAACCTGTGGTGGCTCGTCGCCTTTCTCGGTGGAAGCTTGAGGCATCGTAGCTCGGAGACGGCGTTCTCCCTGGTTATGCGCCTGCGGCTCCGCCCCAGTCTCTCCTCTCCGCAAAGGGGGGGAGGACCCACGGATGTAGAGACACCGCTTTTTATTTTAATATTTTTTTGGAAGCCGGCCGGAGTGGCTGGGGAAGCCCAGCCAGATGGGCGGGGTATAAATAATAAAATATTATTATTATTATTATTATTATTATTATTATTATTATTATTATTATTTATTATCACTCGACCGTGATTGTTGCTGCAATAACAACAATGTAGTAGAAAAGGCTGACCAGGGGAACTGAATTGATTTTGAGCAGAATCTGTGTTTTCCAGCAACTGGTATTCAGAAACATTACTGCCTCCAACTATGGCAGTGCAGCATATGACTACCACGGCTAGTAGCCACAGATAGCCCTTTCCTCCATGAATGTGTCCATCCTCTTCTGAAGCCATCCATTTTGGTGGCCACCACTTCCTCTTGTGCTGTTGGGGCAAAGAAGAGAGTCTACAGAAGGATTTGGAGAAAGGGAGAGAGGCCGCTTCTGAAGCAAGGAGGTAGAGGCTGTCCCTGCCATTGCAAGCAGGGCTGTGTTCCAAACTAGCTTATTCCATGAATATGTAATCTCAGCAGAGTTGGCTGTATTAGCTTTGGCATCAAAAAGGCCTGGAGTCATAGGAAGCTACCTTGTCCTGAGGCTATGTACACACCATACATTTAAAGCACTTTGCTCTCCCCATGAGAAATGTAGTGTACCCTTTACAGAGCTTCAGTTCCCAGCACCCTTGACAAGGTACCGTTCCCAGGATGTGCTTTAAATGCATGGTGTGTACACAGTGCGTGCTCATCTGTTGGTTCAATATTTCCTACGCACTGACTTGTACGGGTTCTCTAGGGCTTCAAACAGAGAACATTCTCCACCCTCCGTGGAGGCGACCCCAGAGAGGTGCTCTACCACTGAACTATGATGGCCTTTCCCCCCTGTGGCTTACAATTTGGCCAAGTTGCACTGAGGTCCTCCACAGAAGTTTCAAGGCACATATCGCAAAACCAGATGTGCTGAAGAAAAACAAGGTCAACAAGAGGAGATTCGAAAAATAACAAGAATGCAATGAATACATGTATAATCACTGCGGTGTGAAATACCAATACAATGCACATCCAAAACATAATGTGCATTTGCCAGAGCATTGGCGCATGAATACTAAACCATTGTTATAACACCAACGCAGCGATAATTACTTTTGCAGCAGGAGATTGCTTGAGTGCAAAGTTGCGTATCAAAATAGGCCCGTAGCTGGGGGTTGGCGAAACAGAGATGGACAGGCATGCAAGAAGAGGAGCTTTGAGGCTGATGGAGAAATTAAGAGGGAGCTTCATCCAGAGATTGGCACAAACAACCTACCAAATCTCAGAAGGCAGCATCCATACCCCCATCTGTTCTTCCAGCTGGTTAGATCCTCTTCTCTGGAACCAGAGCCAGGGGAGACTTTAAGACAATTGCCCCACGCAGCGTGGCTGCTGCCTCACCCTAATCTCTCATTAGGATGCCTGTAGCACTATTGTGCTTTTTCCTGATTGTTGGTGACGTTGCTCAAAGCCTCTAATGGGTTTAGGAGCCACTGAGCTATCCCTCCCCAGCTAAGGGGCAGTGGGGAAGATGAGACGGTGGCGTGCTGAGCCTAAATGCCAGGGGGTGCAAGGTGAGTCTGTTCTACTTCTCCGGCCTCCTTTTTGCAGCAAAGTCCTCACTCTGGCTTCACCCCAGTCCAGCTCTGCAAGCAGTTTCCACCTGGTGGCAAGGATCCAGCCATATCAGCGGCATCCACTGGTACCTATATTTTTAGATGCTTGTTGCCATGGTTTTGGTACCTTGGTTACAGCCAGCAGCTGAACCCAGAGGATCCACTAGCAGCCCACACCTAAGACAAAGACCCCAGATGGTCTCTCTCCAAAGAGGTTCTCATCTGTTTTGTTGACATGGTGGCCATCGCCACGCATGTAGACAAGCTGTAGGGCCAACCGCAAAGAATCCTCGATACCAAAGCAACTCCCAGGGTGAGCAAGGACTGAATCGCACCATGCATGGTGGAACGGTGGAGTTTACGAGAAGTGCATGGCCACCATCTTGGACTGCTCCAAAGGGGGATTGGAAGAATTCTTGGAGGAGTGGAAGGCTAACCACTCCTCCAAGGATATATCACAATTATATTTTTTTTGGTCCTTGTGGATCAGAGGCAGCCTGCCTATGACTCCCAGTTGCTGGGGAGGATAGGAAAGAATGCTTGAGTGCCGGAGTGTGCCTTTCCTGCTTGCGGGCTTTTCTTAGGCATCTGGTAGGTCACTGAAAAGAAATGAATGCTGGACTCTTGGACTGATCGTGGAGGAGTCTTCTTAGGGGAACCACACATTGCCCTCCCTCATCCTGCACGGCAAACAGTGTATCCAGGACATGTCTGCCTGCCTGTTTAATTAAGATATATACCACTGTGCCATAAATATATATATATATCAAAGTTCTTTGTGGCAATATAAACAGAAACCCATACAATAAAAACCATTAAAAATACATTAGGAAGGACTTATTTGACTAAAAGATGCCATTATGTCTCAGTACTTCCAAGCTTTATCAAAGAAACACATAAATGCTTAGAAAACAGAAAACAAACTGTCACTTTCGGGTTTTTGTTGTTGTTCTTGCTTAATTTTTTGTATTATATACATTTAAATTGTTATAAAATGATAAAAATATTTTTAAAACCAGAAAAAGTTAAAAGCAGACATGAATTGGACGGATGTCTTCTTAATTGCCTGTGTAGGCTTGGAGGAATGGAAACATTTTCAGCATGCGTTCAAAAGGTTGGCAAAGAAGGAATCTGCCAGCTCTAAAATGGAGATTCCGCAACATCCATATAAGTACACGGATGATGGGAGTTGTGGTCCAGCAATATCTGGAGGGCCAATAGGCCTTTGCAGCTGTTTATTATTATTATTATTATTATTATTATTATTATTATTATTATTGGCTTTGTTTAAACTACCTCACAGGATTGTTGTGAAGATAAAATGTCAGAGGGGGAAAAACTCAATGTACAACATATTTAACTCTTAGGAAGAGAGGAGAGATAAAATAATAAAATAGTGATACAGTTCTGTGATTCTATTTCTCTGTGGTTTGTTGAGCCTCTGCTATAACCTATTGTGGATTTTCTGTGATGTGTGTTCCTGTTTTAGGTGTTTCTATTAGATAGGCTCCTCCTGTATGATGGATGTGTATGTGTATTTTAATGATCCGAATGGAGTGAAATATTACAGTTATTATATATTTATTTAAATTGTGTCTTTTTCCCTGACGGGGACTCATGAGTCATGGAAGGGGGGGGGAGAGGAAGTATCTATTAATTTAATAGTGTTTATATTATTTTGTCAATACTGCTTTATAGATTACGAACGCCTTATTGATTTGTTAATCATGTAATATGGCTTACACTGTAACTGTGATGCTTACCTGATTTCTTTAGCTGCTGGTTTGCTAATATCAATTTTACAGATTGTAGTTGTTTTACTGAACATTTGTGATGTAATTTATGCTGTCCCTGTGATGTTCTGTTCTGCTACTGTTTGTTAAGCTGCTCTGGGATTCATTTGACTGGAAAGCGACATAGAAATACAACCATGCAATCTCTCTCTTTCTCTCTCTTGCCAGCAGCTGCTCTAGGATGGCTCCGGTGGAGCCCACGCTTGTTTCCCTCCTGCTGTTGGGTCTCCTGGCACTCCAGGCCCGCACTTGCCCAGCCACCTGCCGCTGCTACAGCATGACCGTGGAGTGTGGCTCTTTGGGCCTCAAAGAGATCCCAGGCAGCATCCATCCCTCCACCCAGGTAAGGCTCAGGTGGGAGAAAGCCCAACTCCCAGCACCACTGGGGGGGTGACCATTAGGGCCAGGTTTCCTTTCTCAACCCAACCTAACCTACCTCACAATACTGTCGTCGGTTCAGTGCAAATGCTGGCTTGCTTTCAAAAATAAATTCAAACGTTAACAATAAGAACAATGAACGGTGTCTTTCTGAAAACACCAAAATTGGAATCTCTGTAGAAGTAGCATATTGTTGTTGTTATTTAGTCGTTTAGTCATTCGTTGTGACCCCATGGACCAGAGCACGCCAGGCACCTCTGTCTTCCACTGCCTCCCGCAGTTTGGTCAAACTCATGCTGGTAGCTTCGAGAACACTATCCAGCCATCTCGTCCGCTGTTGTCCCCTTCTCCTTGTGCCCTCAATCTTTCCCAGCATCAGGGTCTTTTCCAGGGAGTCTTCTCTTCTCATGAGGTGGCCAAAGTCTTGGAGCCTCAGCTTCAGGATCTGTCCTTCCAGTGAGCACTCAGGGCTGATTCCCTTAGGAATGGAGAGGTTGGATCTTCTTGCAGTCCATGGGACTCTCAAGAGTCTCCTTTAGCACCAGAATTCAGAAGCATCCATTCTTTGGCCATCAGCCTTCTTTATGGTCCAGCTCTCACTTCCATACATCACTACTGGGAAAACCATAGCTTGAACTATACAGACCTTTGTTGGCAAGGCGATGTCTCTCTCATATACAATGACTGATTAGGTGTTGAGCCAATATAACCTACAAAATTGTAAAAGAATGCTTCCTTGAGGTGCATGCAAGTGTCAAGAATTACTTTTTAATAGACTGCCAGTTTGGTGTGTTTGAATCTGGGTGGTGGCGGGGTTGTGTGTGTGTGTGTACCTGGTATAGATTTGTTTTTAATCTACAGCCAGCTCAGACCCTTTGGGATGTGGAGCTAGAACAAATATATTAAACCAATAAAATGGAGAGCGTATATAAAAAACCAAAGTGTGTGCACGCAGACACATTGCTACACCACCAAGCCTTTGGGCTCCCAATGCAACCTGTGCATGTGAAAGAACACATTCTCTCCCATGCCCACTCATTTACTATCTTCTTCTTTTTAGAGCTTTATTAAGTAATCAAAATACTTTATAAAGAAGCAAAATAAATCAGGTGGTGATTTGCTGTTAAAGATCTGTAGTACATAGACATCAGAACATAGTGAGGTTCAATCTAAAGTCAGACAAGAAAATAGGATTGTTGTTCTTTCAGGAGCTGACACTGTGTTGAGCTCAGGGTTTAACTGATGGCATCTCCCCTGGCTTTCTCCAGCGGGTGCAGAATGCCGCAGTGAGACTCCTTACGGGGTCCTCGCTGCGAGATCACATTCACCCGGTGCTATACCAGCTGCACTGGCTCCCAGTGGAGTACAGGGTCAGGTTCAAGGTGCTGGTTTTAACCTTTAAAGCCCTATACGGCCTAGGACCCTCGTACCTACGGGACCGCCTCTCCTGGTATGTCCCACGGAGGACCTTACGGTCTTCAAACAAAAACACCTTGGAAGTCCCGGGCCACAGGGAGGTTAGGCTGGCCTCAACCAGAGCCAGGGCTTTTTCGGCCGTGGCTCCGATCTGGTGGAACGCTCTGTCACAAGAGACCAGGGCCCTGCGGGACTTGACATCTTTCCGCAGGGCCTGCAAGACAGAGCTATTTCACCAGGCCTTTGGCAAGGCACAGCCTGACTCCCTCCTTTGGCAGTCTTCACAGAACTCTAGCCCAGTGGTTGCCATCAATTTGATTTGAATTAATTTTATAATGAAATGATTTTAGAATGTTGTATTATTTTATTGTTGTTAGCCGCCCTGAGCCCGGCTTCAGCTGGGGAGGGCGGGATATAAATAAAATTTATTTATTTATTTATTTATTTATTTATTTATTTATTTATTTATCCATCCATCCCCACTTCAGACGGTTTTTCTTCAGGACAACGGCATCACGCAGATTCACCAGCAAGACCTGGCGTCTCTCTCGGGCCTGCAATACCTCTACATGCAGAACAACACCATCTCAGCCCTGGAGCCAGGCGCCTTCCGCAACCAGAACCGGCTGCTGGAACTGGCGCTCAATGGCAACCGCATCCACCTCATCAACAGCAGCATCTTTAAGGGCTTGGAGCACCTGCGAGTCCTTTACCTGGCGGGCAACCAGATCACCCGGCTGCCCGACTTCACCTTCTGCGACCTGGAGGTGAGACCCCCACAGGGGCATTCCTGAAAGCGAGCCATTGTCCATCAAGGTGGCCCCAGTCTGCCTCCCAGAAACAGCTATGTTTTCTGCGTTAGGACCCTGCTGTTCCCATTTTATGGATGAGGGAACTGAGGCTCAGTATTAGGGTTTGAGCAACTCTCACTTTCATCCCTGATCTGCAGCGGCTTAGTGCAAATAGATGAATGACTTGGAGGAGCTAAGTCTTAGCTAATTCCTACTGTATGCAACAGAGCATTATGGAAATAGCTGCATTACAAAGTCAGTTGTGTGACCTTTAAAAGCAAGTTCAAGTACTTGTCGTTAATATTAGGAACAGCAGGGACTTTCAATACACAATTAAACTGTGTCCAGTTCTGGGCACCAAAATTGACAGAGGATATTGGTAAGCTGGAAGGTGTGCAGAGGAGGGTGACCAAGATGGTAAAGGGTCTGGTAAAGAGATGGCAAAGGGCCCCTAAGTGTTATGAGGATGGTTGAGGGAGGTGGGTATGTTTAGCCTGCAAAAGAGGAGACTTTAAGGAGATCTGCTAGCTGTCTTCAATGCCACCCAGACCGCTGTCACATGGAATACGGAGCCAATGCGAATGAATGAATTTTATTATTTCGGTCACAGACCAGTTCCAGCCCACATACAATTTCAAGGAAGTCATAAAACACGATAGGGATACATTTGAATTTGCAATTAGGATGTGAGGGCAATCTGGCTGTGACATCTGTCACCCCATTGATCACCAGGGTTGATTTGGCTGATCTGGCTGGCTAGGCGGGTGTCCCCTTCCTCCCTCACCGCTCCATGTGCGTCCCTCCCGAAGCTGTGTGCTCGGTGGAAGAGGACAACCATCCCAGATAGAAGGAGTGTACCATTCTGCGGTCAAGGGAGCCAACTTGTTTTCTGCTGCTCCAGAGGATGGGACCCAAGCCAGTGGATTCAAGTTAGAAGAAAGGAGATTCTGACTAAACATCAGGAAAAAACTTTCCGACTGTTAAGAGCCGTTTGACAGGGGAACGGTCTCCCTCGGGAGGTTGTGGGCTCTCTTTCATTGGCTGCTTTTATTTTATTCCCCCCCCCCAATTTTTTTTATTGATTTTCCAAAATTATAACAAACATAACAACAAACAAAAACATCACAGTATCAAAAAACAAACAAACATTTATCCTAACTGTTATAGTCCCACTTTTTTATCATTGTTGGGTGACTTCCTCAAATCCCCCCAGCTGAGTTTCCATATAGCTCATTGTAGCAGTTTTCCAATACTATTTTCATATAAGGTTTACTTGTTGAATTAACATAATATTATGCAATTTCACATACCGTATTTTTCGCTCTATAAGACGCACCAGACCACAAGACGCACCTAGTTTTTGGAGGAGGAAACCAAGAAAAAAAATATTCTGAATCTCAGAAGCCAGAACAACAAGAGGGATTGCTGCGCAGTGAAAGCAGCAATCCCTCTTGCTGTTCTGGCTTCTGTGATAGCTGCGCAGCCTACATTAACTCCATAAGACGCACACACATTTCCCCTTACTTTTTAGAAGGGAAAAAGTGAGTCTTATAGAGCAAAAAATAAGGTAGTTAAATCCTTGGCCAATCTGTTACTCACAAATATTTCTGTTTAAGTGATCTGAACGTATTTAGCTAAATTGTCTTTAAATTTCTTCCATTCCTCTTGGTACTCCTCTTCCTCCTGGTCACGGACTCCTTCCGGTCAGGTCGGCTAGCTCCCAAAAGTCCATCATCTTCACCTGCCATTCCTCCACTGTTGGCACTTCTTGTAATTTCATTGGCTGCTTTTGAGCAGAAGGTGAATGGCCATCTGTCTTGCATCCTCTAGTTGTGATTCCTGCCTTGCAGGGGGTTGGACCCCTGGCCAAGAGTCCCCAATTCGCATGGGGCTGCATGGGCAGGGCAAACGAATGAGGGACAAACAGCCTCAAACAGCAGTGGTACCAAGGAAGAAGTGGATAATGGCTCCAGGCCTGCTTTCTACCTAATGTGCCATCTGATTCTCTCTTTTGCAGAGGTTGCAGGAGCTCCACTTACAGGAGAACAGCATAGAGACTCTGGAGGACCAGGCGCTGGCCGGTCTGACCTCGCTGGCGCTGCTCGACCTCAGCAAGAACAACCTGCGCACCATCAGCCGGGTGGCTCTCCGGCCCCTCATCAGTCTTCAGGTGCTGCGATTGACAGGTGAGCCGCTGCCACGCGCTGGCAGCTCATCTGGCGCCACCTGCAGGCCAGAAGTGCTGGTGCTAGCTCAGCCATTTCAAAGCGGGCCTCTGCTGCCCACTTCTCTTATTGCCCCCAAGGTAGAAAAGCTGGGGTAGGCAGGAGGGATGCAGGCATGTCTTTTTTATATATATAACATTTTTATTAGGGTTTTTACATTGCAAAATAGAAAAAGAAAAAATACAAAATACAAAATAAAAATAGTTAAAAACAATCAATCTTTTCATCACATTATTTCTCATTTACTTGTTTCCCGGACCTCCTCATACCTCCCTTTTTTGTATTCCAATTCAATTTATTAGCTCAGCAGTTTCTTTCCCTCTTAATTCTACCCTAATCTTTAATCTTAAATTATTATAACCTTGAATTTTTACTTATTAAAAAAAACACAATTTTTTCATATTCTTTTATACCATTACAGCTAGAAACCACTTAATTTCAATCCAACATCATTCTAACATTCATTAATTTTGCAATATCTCTGTAGATAGTCTTTAAATTTCTTCCAATCTTCTTCCACCGACTCTTCTCCCTGGTCTCGGATTCTGCCTGGGATGCAGGCATGTCAGGCTGGGAGGAAATCTCTGCAAGAGCCACAAAGATTTATTTGTAGGAAACGGTGCGTTTTTTGTGCAGCAGCACTTGCATTCTGGAACCACCTGCCTCTTAACATCAAGCACAGCCTCCCCTGTGCTTTTTTCGGCACCTGCTAGAAACATTCTTTTTTAGACATGCAGAATGCTGAGGTGTGTTTTAATCCTGTTTTTAGTTTATTGCTGATTTTATATTCTGGATGTTTTAAAAGAGTTGTTTTTACTGGTGACTTTTATTGTTTTAGCCTCTTTGTAAACCGCTTTGAGTGTTGTCGTTTCAACGATCAAGCCGTGTGCAAATTTTATGAAATGAAAATAAATGTGGCCCCATGGGCTGGAAAAGGTAATAATATATTATTTATACCCCGCCCATCTGGCTGGGCTTCCCCAGCCACTCAGGGCGGCTTTCAACAGAATATTAAAATACAATAGTCTGGCAGGACATAAATAAATCTTAGGGTGTAGATAGGATTGGATACAGTAAGGAAACGGTGGGAAAGTACAGTGGTGCCTCGCAAGACGAAATTAATTCGTTTCGCGAGTTTTGTCGTCTTGCGATTTTTTTCGTCTTGCGAAGCACGGTGTCGGGAAAGTTTAGGGAAAGCTTCAAAAATCACCAAAGTCTTAAAAAACCTAAAAAAAGGCTACCACACCGCGTTCTATGAGTTGCTCCTCGAAGTCAAGTCGCAACTGTATTAACGGTGTTAAGAAAAAGGAAACAAACTTGCAAGACGTTTCCGTCTTGCGAAGCAAGCCCATAGGGAAAATCGTCTTGCGAAGCAGCTCAAAAAACCCTTTCGTCTAGCGAGTTTTCCGTCTTGCGAGGCATTCGTCTTGCGAGGTACCACTGTAACTGACATAAGAAAACCTGTGGAAGGGAGGGAGGGAAGTCAGTTCTCAGCAGTGTGGGGAAAGAATGTGGGTAAATGACTGTTGAATTTTACTGTATTTTGTTTGTATTAAATGAAACACCAATAGAAAACAAAACAAAAGTCCTACTTGCGGGTTTCCCATAGGGGCATCTGGTCTGCTGATGTGAGATATTCGGCTGGATGGGCCATTGGCTTGATCCCGCAGGCTCTTTCTATATTCTTATTTTGCATGGGGCTGTGGAGTGAAGAGTGGTGGGGAGGCAGTGGGAGACTCCTGGGGTGACACAGACTTGTAACCAGACCCCCCCCCTTTCTCTCCCTCCTGGCAGAGAACCCTTGGCGCTGTGACTGCTCCCTGCACTGGCTGAGCTCCTGGATCAAGGAAGACGGGCAGCGGCTCCTGAGCCCCCAGGACAAGAAGATCGTGTGCACGGAGCCCCCTCGCCTGGCCTACCAGAGCCTGATGGACGTCTCGGGCAACAGCCTCATCTGCATCCCGCCGGTCGTGCAGGTGGAGCCCCTGGAAGTGACGGCGCGGCTGGGCGACGACCTGCGCGTTTCCTGCCAGGCCTCGGGCTACCCGCAGCCCCTGGTAACATGGCGCAAGCTGGCGCACTGGCGGGGGGCCGGGGGGGCCAAGGCCAGCGGCTCCCGGCTCCCAGGCGGGACCTTTGCCCTGAGCGAGCGCAGCGTGGGGGAGCGCTTTGAGCAGTCGGACACGGGCAGCGGGATGCTCTTCCTCAACAACGTGACGGTGGCCCATGCCGGCAAGTACGAGTGTGAGGCTTCCAACCCGGGTGGGACGGCCCGGGTCCTCTTCCACCTCATGGTCAACCTCTCACAGCAGCAACAGCAGCAGACGTCGCGCGGCTACCCGGCCTCTGTGGACATCAGCCAGGAGCCCCTCTATGACATGGAGAGCATGGACTTCAACGCTCTCAGCATGGCCACGCAGACGGCCATCGCCGTGGCCATCTCCCTCCTGGCCCTGGTGGCCCTCCTGCTGGTGATCATGATCTACCGCAAGCACCGCAAGCGGAAAAAGGCCAAAAAGGAGGAGAACATCCTCTACGTCAACGACTACTCGGATGGGCCTACCACCTTCGCCCAGCTGGAGGAGTACCGGGACGAGAGGGGCCACGAGATGTTCGTCATCGACCGCAACAAGCCCCTCTTCGCCACCTACAAGGACCCCCAGGGCCTGGTGGGAACCTTCCCCGAGCAGCTGCAGGATCAAGCCACCCAGACCTTGGAAGGGGAAGACGACGGCCCCCCGGAAGCCAGCGAGCTCTTTGTCAACCAGGGACTCATGTTCCAGCCTCAGATTGCTTACGAAATCCACTGCTGAAGGATTTTGGGCAGGCGGGGAGAGCCCACAAGCAAGGTGCCCAGGAAACCTTTGGGGTGGGTGGACTCCCCCTCCCCCTGCCCCCTTAGGGGAGCTGCTTCCTTGACCTTTCACCTCCGCCCCGGCCTTCCCGATAGGTCTGCCTTCTCTGCGGTTTAAGGTGATGCAGGAGTGGAGCCCACGATGCTTCGGTGACCGTTAGTGGCACCCAATGGGGAGACGGGGGATTTCTTTCTAAGTCTCTCCCCTGGGAGCAATCTCACTCCATAGTGGCACTCCCTCGGTCTCTCTGGAGCTTCCCGGATGCTCTCCGCAAAGACAGGAGAGCGGTTCAAGAGGCCTCCGCAAGAAGGCCCATTCAGAAAGTGTTACAGGCGGTGCTATTTTTCTAGAAAAAGAGGGGCCGGAACTCACCATGAAAACAACCCCCGTTCTCTTAGAATGGCAACGGTGCCCACCTGAGAGGTGCAGGAACCGAGTTCCAGCGAGTTCCCCCTGGAAAAACTCTGGTTATGGGGTACCGAACTGGTGGCCACTGATGGACAGCAACAGGCCGCAACCCTTGATTTATCCCAGTCGCCCCCCAATTTGCCCTCCAATGTGTATCCTGTGGTTGGACAGAAGGAATTTGACTACTCAGTGAATGAAAGAAAAACCACTTCCTAGGCGTAAGTTTGGTCTCTTGACAAGAAGCTGATGGAATCCATAAAAGTCATACACAGTCTTGACCACCCTGTTTCCCCCCACTCTTTCCCTGACCTTCAACTGACACTGTGGAGATGAAGCCGGGCGGGGGGCGCGGCGGGGTACACCTTCCGAGAACAGGGAGAGCTTCTCCGGCCAGAGGACAAGTGTGACATTTGTTTTCCAATTTGGTGTTTTGTTTTTGTTTTTGTTTCGTTTTAAGGATGAAGGAAAACATACTGTGACAATCACAATGAGTTGAACAGCTCCACTGTATTTGTAAGTCCCACAGGTAGACCCCCCACCCCTCACCTGCACAGCCACCCCACCCCCCTTTTCTGGTGCTACACAACTGTGGTTTTGCAGGAACCTTGAAAACCACAGGAAATGGGGAGGTACCACCAGGCTCTGCCAGGAAAATGGAAATGGCAGGGCCGCAAAGCGATCTGAGCAAACGAGAAGCCAATAAAATGTAGCTGGTGCCGGGGGGGTGCCAAGGACCAGCATTTCATTTATATTATTTATTTATAAATTCTTATAGCACATCCCTCTTGTGGAAAGTGTGTGCGCTGACACAAAATTGTGGTCCAAAATGAGTTGCAGTCACACGTTTCCTTGCACGCCTGTAAGTAGGGTGTAGCTTTGGGGATTTCTATTTTTCACATTTTCCTGATCCTGTGACAATACATTTTAGGCAGAGCATGATGAAGATGATGCAGAACATCCAGGGAGCTCTCTCAAAGGCTCTACAAACTAAGCAGCCAATCCCTGCACAGAGCACGGTCTGTTTTGCTGACTATATTCCTCCCTGGACTGAGAGCCGGGAAGGGAGGAAGGCCAGCTACTCCATATCTTCCGCACCCTCTGGATCAGACCATATCCAGGCCAGAGAGAGCCAAGAGCAAAAAATGGCACATGCAGAATTATCATAAAGGGAGGAGAGGGATTGAACTGCCTGCTTTTGCTAACTACCCCATAAAACAACTTTCTGGTTGCCCATTTCAACCCTGGAAGATCAGCCCAGGGCAGTCTTCACCCACCTGCTGCCCTCCAGATGTTTTGTACTACAACTCCCATCAACTGGGGCTGTTGGGAGTTGTAGTACAAAGCACCAGGTTGGCAAAGGGTGGCATAGGCCACAATGAATTTGGAAAGTCTTCACTGTGCCAAGAGTCTGAGTGTTGACGTTGCTTTGTGCTGCAGCAAAGATTCCACCCTCACTTTCCAGTATAAATGCAGCACTCAATTGTGACTTGCGTGTAATCTTGTAGCACCTGGATTTCTCCACTGTTACATCTATCACCAGTTCTCCCGCCAAGGAAGGAAGGAACCCTGCAGTCTGTGTGCAAACCTAAAAATTGCGAGTCTATGACCCTTTCTGGGCGGTTCCTTTGAATTTTTGTCTCCCACCCCACGGGGTCATGAGAGGATACTTTAGAGGGTGCAACTGTCTGGCGTAGGTGTGCTTCTTCCCTCTACAGTGGGAAAAGCACTCTGGTTGCAATGGCCAAAACCAGCATTACAGTCCCTGAAAACAGGCTTCTTGGGTACAGCTGGCCTGTGGCTCTCCAGGTCTTTTGGGAATCTAATTTCTGTTAGCATTATCACCGCCAGCAGCCCTTCAGCTGAAGGCCCCAGGGTGACTTACAGCATATAAAAAACAAGTAATTGCCACCCAGAAAGTGCACTTAGAATTGCAACGTTCATGGCAGCATAGCGTGATGGGCTGGGACTCTGGCTTGGACTCAGAACCGGAGGAGTCTCGGTCTGCACCAGATCCTCTGCCTCAGGCGGCATCTGAACCGAGTCTGGGGCCTGATCCTGAAGAGCCCCAGTCTGCACAGGTTCCCCTGCAACAAGCACCAGCTGGGCCGAGTCAGGGGCCTGAGCCTGCCCTGGCTCCAGATGCGGGGATTCCCTCGTTGCCTTCAGCTGGGCCATCACTTACAGCTGCTCCACGACCAGTTGGGTCAGGGAAGGCTGAGGCAGCCTCTGGGTCTAGTAACCCACCGACGTCTCCCGAGCTGAGAGGTCTGAGAGGAGAGACCCGAGTACTCGCAGGAGGAGTGCTCGCCTTCGGGAGAGACAGGGAGGTGAGTCACCGGGGGATCAGGACCAGCCGTTACTCCGTCAGAGATAAAGGGCTGCTGGACCCTGCCCCAGGTTGCGGTAGCAACATTGCTGCTTGCTGGAACCTGCCTGTGATCCTGTGCCTGACCTTGCCTGGTTCCTGCCTTGGCCCTGTTGGACTGGCTCCTCGTGGAATCCTTGGATTCGGGACTGGACCTGGACCATGTTGCTCGGGTTAACCCCCTGGGCCCAGCACACAGAATTGTGGCATTGGAAGGGGCCCCAAGCATCATCACCCCCCTGCAATGCAGAAATCACAGCTGGCAAATGTCTTCCAGCTACTTTGATGGGTCACTGTCAGCTTTCAGGGCCTGGTTCCTGTCCACTCCCTGTTTTGGCAGAACACAGTTGGTCCTCATTTTGCCAGTTCCAGTTCCCTCCCAGCAATACTTGAAATTCTAGGTTCTACCGCGCTAGCATGACTTTTCCGAAGGGTTTGTAATTAGGATTTATTTATTGGGATGTAAGCTTGTTTGCTTGGACTAGGAAGGAGAAGGCTGCGGTGGGAACAGCCAACCAGTGACGACCACCAGCCTGCCCGCCCCTCCCGATCGGGCTCCCACTGGGCCCCGTATTCTTAAGAGCCGGGTGTCACTCAGTGTCTCCCTCGCTCAGCACTCCAGCCTCGATGAGGTACAGCCTGGTCCTGTAGCCCCGGTAGGCGGACTGGATCTTGATGGCAGCTTCCTGCTGTTGGCGCAAGACCTGCCGTGCCCTCCACCCCCTCCAGAAGGCCTGGATGAGGGTCGCTGCCCGCGCCACCTGCCACATCTGCTTCCGCGTCTTGAACACCCGCTTCTGGCCCTCGCCCATCCGGCGGGCATAGTAGTTCTCATAAAGCCATTCGGAGGTCCCCGCGCTGGGCGCTCCCTGTTGGCTGAGGCTGGTGGAGGAGAGGCTCCGCGCTGTGTTGCGGTCCCGTGTGGGACGGGCAGCCGCGTGGCCCGTGGAATAGCGCTGGCTCAGGCCTCCGGGATCCCGGCCCTGCCTCCGCGGCTGGTCTTCGGACGCCATGCTCTGGTTCCCGGGGTAATAGGCCCTGGGGCCCATCTGGTAGGACCCGTGGGACCCGTAAGGCTCTGGCCTGGCAGGCGACTGTGACCCTCTCGACCTGGGAGCCGGGCTCTTCCTCCTGGCGGACGCAGGCCGGGCGTGCCCCTCGCACTCGCTGTCATCCATGTCCGATTCGGAGGGCGGGCCCTTGCCCACCCCCACCAGGACGCGCACAGTGGTGCATCTCCCACAGCGGGGGCACGACTTGGGCTCCGAGCGCTCTCTCTCCCTGGCTCCTGGCTGCTCTCTTTCCCTGAATTCGGGGCGCTCCCTTTCCCGGAATTGCAGGTGCTCTCTCCTGCCTCCCCCCGGGTGTTCCCTCGCGTGCGATGGCTGAGTCCGAGGGACCTTGCTCGCCCACTCCTCGGGGTCTCCCACGAGACACTTGCGCCAGTGCTTCCTGGGGTAGGGGCCCACCCAAGAGGAGCTCCCGGGCATGTAGCTGGGCTGCCCGTAGTAAGTCCCTCTCGGGCCGGGCCGGTGAGCAGGGCGTTGCGGCATCTGCGCCAGCTCCTGCCGGGTGCGGTAGCCCCTCCAGTGCGCCTGGATAGTCGTGGCTGCCCGCCTGCACTCTGCGAGGGCCTGCCGGGTCTTGTAGCCCCGGTAGTGTGCCTGGATGATGACCGTAGCTCGCTCTTGGTCCATCTCCGGGGCCCCCCAGGACCTGCTCCCCTCGTTGAAGGAGGCCAGGGAGGGTGTTGTCCTCCTCCTTGTCGTAGTCCTCCTCCTCCTCCTCTCAACCCGATGCTCCTGCCTATACCCTTGCCACGAGGGCACCTGCTCCCGCTGCAGGGCTGCGTACTCCCGGGTGATGAAGTGCCTCCACGCGGCCTGGATGACCGAGGCGGCAGCGTGTTCCCGAAGGACGCGCCTCCGCACCAGGTAGCCTCGCCACGTGGCCTGGATGGTGGTGGCTGCCTTGTCCATGAGCATGTCTAGCTCGTCCACCAGGAAGGAGGAGCGGTGGCGGGAGCGGCTCGTGCTCCGGGCACGCACCCTGGCCAGGTGGGGGTCATGGTAGGGCTCTTCATTGTCGTCCTCGTCCTCCCCGCTCTGGGAATTGTAGGGGCACCAAAGGTGGTCCTCATAGGTCTCCATCCTGGAAAGGAGGAGAAAGGGCAGGCATCAGGCAGTGGCCAGAATCCTTGCCCCGTATTGGGCCTCAGGTGAGGTCCCAGGGTGGACAGATTGTCTCCTCTCTAAAGTTAAAGGTAAAGGGACCCCTGCCTGTTAGGTCCAGTCGTGGCCGACTCTGGGGTTGCGGCGCTCATCTCGCTTTATTGGCCGAGGGAGCCGGCGTACAGCTTCCGGGTCATGTGGCCAGCAGGACTAAGCCACTTCTGGCGAACCAGAACAGCGCACGGAAACGCCGTTTATCTTCCCACCGGAGCGGTACCTATTTATCTACTTGCACTTTGACGTGCTTTCGAACTGCTAGGTGGGCAGGAGCAGGGGCTGAGCAACGGGAGCTCACCCCGTCACAGGGATTTGTACTGCCGGCCTTCTGACCGGCAAGTCCTAGGCTCTGTGGTTTAACCCACAGCACCACCCGCGTCCCTGTCTCCTCTCTACCCTGCTGCATTTTAGGGGGATACCCTTCCTCTTTGTGACCTCTTTCCCCTAGAATTGCCCACGTTTCTGTTGGCTTTTAATCTCACCTCAAAGATGCTTTCCTCCTCCTCCTCTCCCCATCACTGTAAATGTGCCACTCTTGTCCTCAAAGCTCCTCAGAATGGCTTCCTTTCCCATCCATCTCAGCTTCAAGCTTCTAGCCCTCAAAGGCCTCCACCAAGCAGCCCCTAACTATAATTTCTCGGCATCTCCCCTAAAATTTTCCCTCTGCTGTTAACTCATTGGTCTCTCACACTCTCCTTCCCATCATCAAGCCTTCTGCTACCTAACAACGTCTGAAGAGCATCTGTCTGGTCCAGCATCCTGTTCTCACAGTGACTAAAAGAACCTAGACAGACTGTTTCTGGAGCTGGAGGTTGCCTAAGGACATAACAGCCTGGCTCCTTGATCAGGCCAATGGCCCATCTAGTCAACCTCTTTATCTTACAGCAGCCACCCAGATGCCCCTTATGGGAAACCCACAACTGGGATTCAAACACACAAGAACACTTTCTTCCAGCAACTAGCCATCATGGCTAGTAGTCACTGATAGCCCTCTCCTCCTTGGATTTGTCTAATCTTTTAAAGCTGTCCAAGATAGTGGCCCTCATTGCCTCTTGTGGGAGGGAGTTCCGCAGGTTAACTGTGAGCTGCCTGAAGAAGGGCCTTTATCTGTCCTGAATCTCCCAACATTCAGCTTCTGCCATGTGTGTGGATGCGCTTCCACAAGTGTACACACACACAAACCACACAAAATTTGCCCAGCAGTTCCCTGTTAAGTGTTAAAAGTCTTTGAAAAAGCCACACTTGGGCACTGCTCTCTGCCAGAGGAAGGTGCCCATAAATATATATTTTCAATAAATAAAGTTAAATGATAAGTTTTCACAGTAGCTGCCCCCATTTCTTGAACCTCTGACTCTGTGTCTCTGAGCACAGGCAGATTGCCTCCCCCAGCCCAGCAAAAAGGAGCTAAAAAAAAAAGTTTCAAAGATACAAAGCAACTTAAAAACAACAACTTTGTGTATTTAGTACCTCTGAGCAGGTACAGACTGCTCCCTTCTGAAGGGAGTGGGATCCGAACCAGCGGATTCAAGTTTCGGGAAAGGAGATTCTGACTAAACTTGCTGAGAGCAAGAGCTGTTTTGACAGTACAATGGACCCCCTTGGCGATTTATTTGGAGATTTTAAAGCAGAGGTCGGATGACCATCTGTCAGGGATTTTTTAGTGGTGATTTTTGCATTTCAGGGGGCCGGACTAGATGACCCAATGCTATAATGCCATGCTTCCACTGTTATTAGATGCACCTTGGAGTACATAAATGAAATAAATAATGCTATTTCTCTCCCCACTCGCTGCCACCCTGCAGCTTGGCACCAATCTATTCTGGTATCTAGCCAGGAGGGGAACAAAATGCGGGAACAGCTCCACTCCTTACGTGCTCATGGACACAGCCAGGACAGAAGTACTGGCAGCCTTCAGGATGAGCAAAAGGGAAAGGAATGGAGTCTTGGCAGGCCTGCGGGTAACGATGCGGATGTTTGGTGGATTGCTTGCCTGTTGCAGAATGTAGCTCCAAAACATGCCTGGGGGAACTTCTCCTGGGGGCCACATTCCCTCCTGGACGACTGTCCGAGGGCCGAATGCTAGTGGTGGGCAGGGTCTTAAGCAAAAGTAGGTGGAGAAGGGAACATAACCATTTTGACTTTGTAGAAGAGGACGGTTTCTATGTTCAGCTCGCACCCTGCTCCCTGGGTGTCACCTAGGCCATCCAGAGCCATTACATAGGTACTTCGGGTTAAGTACTTAATTCGTTCTGGAGGTCCGTTCTTAACCTGAAACTCTTCTTAACCTGAAGCACCACTTTAGCTAATGGGGCCTCTTGCTGCAGGAGCACGATTTCTGTTCTCATCCTGAAGCAAAGTTCTTAAGCCGAGGTACTATTTCTGGGTTAGCGGAGTCTGTAACCTGAAGCGTATGTAACCTGAGGTACCACTGTACCTCTGAATTTGATTACACCTTCCAGCCAGGCAAAAGCCCTCAAGGAAGATGAGATGCAAGGTGTTTGGCCTGGGAAAGAGGATCATAGAATTCTAGAGTTTGGAAGGGACCCCAGCGGTCATCTAGCCCAACCCCCTGCAAATGCGGGAATCTCAGCTAAACAATCCCTGGCAGGGGGAGTCCATTCCACAGCTGAATAATGATTATATATATATAAAAATGAAATTATAATAATAAAGAGCTCTTACCGCCAGGAAGTTCTTCCTAATGTTTAGTCAAAAATCTCCTTTCTTGGAATTTCAATCCACTGGTTAGGGTCCTTCCCTTTTGAGCAGCAGAAAACAAACTTGCTGGCTGGGGGAGGAGGTGTAGCCTGGAGAGAGTTTCTCAAGGGCCAGAGAGAGAGGCCAGGAGGGCCGGATTGCCTCCCTCCCTTCCACCCCACCCCCTCCATAGGGCAGGGGTAAAAGGGATGGTGGTCTATTACCTTTCTCAGGCAACCATGTCAGCTCTGCCACCTTGATTCTGCCTCGTTGCAGCTGCCTCCGGTTAGGCATAGGGCTGGATATACCCTGCGGCGAGAGAAGCTGTTTACAGCACCACAAGACAAACACAAACACACACACTGTCACAGCCTGGCTGAGGCTTGGTCCACCTCACAGAGGGCACCAGGTTGGGGAAGGCTGGCCTAGATAATCCATTTCATCCAAGGCTTCCTGCAGCTGCCTCACCTCAACCCTCTCCATCAGTTACCCAAGGAAAGCAACCGGTTCCTAGTTTAGCTCAGACTAGGCAGTCTTGTTTAAGAAACAGAAATGGCCCTTCCTCTTTCAGAAGATGTCAGAAGAGCTTGCTGGATCAGGCCAGTGGCCCATCAAACCCAGCCTCCTGTTCTCACAGTGGCCAGCCAGGAGCCTGCAGGATAATTAATTTATTATTATTATTATTATTATTATTATTATTATTATTATTATTATTATTATTATTAATTTGTACCCCACCCATCTGGCTGGGTTTCCCCAGCCAATCTGGGCAGCTTCCAACAAAGATTAAAAATACCGTATTTTTTGCTCTCCAAGACTCACTTTTTCTCTCCTAAAAAGTAAGGGGAAATGTGTGTGCGTCTTATGGAGCGAATGCAGGCTGCGCAGCTATCCCAGAAGCCAGAACAGCTTTCACTGCGCAGCGATCCCTCTTGCTGTTCTGGCTTCTGAGATTCATAATATTCTTTTTCTTGTTTTCCTTCTCCAAAAACTAAGTGCGTCTTGTGGTCTGGTGCGTCTTATAGAGCGAAAAATACAGTACATTGAAATGCCACACATTAAAAACTTCCCTAAACAGCCTTCAGATGTCCTCTAAAAGTCAGGTAGTTGTTTATTTCCTTGACATCTAGTGGGAGGGTGTTCCACAGGGTGGGCGCCACCACCGAGAAGGCCCTCTGCCTGCTTCCCTGTAACTTGGCTTCTCGCAGCGAGGGAACCACCAGAAGGCCCTCGGCGCTGGACCTCAGTGTCCAGGCAGAATGATGGGGGTGGAGACGCTCCTTCAGGTATACCGTTCCGAGGCCCTTTTGGGCTTTAAAGGTCAACCCACAAGAAGGATTCAAGCACAAGGGCAACTCTTCCCTTCTGCCATTTCCAGCAACTCGCATTCAGAAGCATTGCTGCCTCCTACTGTGAAGAGAGAGCAGAGCCACCAGGGCTAGGAGCCATCCGTAGCCCCCTCCTCCATGAGTTTGTTCAGTCCTCTTTTAAACCCATCCAGGTTGGTGGCCATCTCTGCTTCCTGTGGCAGGGAGTTCCACAGTTTAACTCAGCACTGCATGAAGGACTTTTACCTGTCCTGAACCTCCCAACGTTCAGTTTCATTGGATGTCTGTGAGTTTTGACGTTATGAGAGGGAGGCAAACGTTTCTCCACTTCCTCCATGCCATGCAGGACTTTATAAACTTTGCCTCTGACTCCTTCTCTCTAAACTAAAAAGTCCCAAATGTGGCAACCTTTCTTCACAGAAGAGTTGCTCTACAATGTCCTTTTTGCGGGGAGGCGATCGCATAACGACACAGTCCCCAAACCCTGCACCTCCCTAGCCCACTGCATTTTCCATCTCCCAGATAGGAACTGCCCAACCGCACAGCCAAAACTCCCAAGAAGGTGAACCCAGAACCTGCCTTTTCTCATGCCACACACCTGCCAATATTTGTTTTCTTTTAGCCCATACTAATTATAGTTTTAAGCCAAGCCCATTGGGAACCAAAGAGGAAAGCCACAGGGATGTTGAACCTCTGCACATCTACAGCACCTGATGCTGGGAGTTTCGGTGCCCAGCAGGTCTGGCTATGGGTTTCTAGAAAGCCAGACTGTGCACAACTTGACAAAGGAGAACTAAAATGGCGGGTGGCCAAGTTGGGAGACAGCGGTGCTCCCTTGCCTTGAATCCAGGTAAACCGTATCCATTTCTGCTCCCACAGGAAGCCTCTTCATGCCATACCTATATAGAGACGGCAGCTCCCATGCACAACCCGTCCTCTCCCTTCTGCAGGACCTTCCAGCCACCTCTTGCATGGGCCGAGGAATTCTGGGGGCTCCCAACATCACATGCTGACATCACTACAATTGTGGCATCATGGTCTGTGTGCAGCCAATCACAGGCAGTTGGGTGGGGGGGAGCCTTTGGCAGCCCAGCTTGGAAGTGGGAGCATCTCTGCTTCCTGGGTTCTTCACAGGTGTGTGGTCCATTCACACCTTGACAAAAACACATTTTGAAAGGGAGATCCTTCCTAGTGCTGCTCCTACTCATTTGTTTTGCTCAAGGCCAGGGAAGGTCTAAGCCTCAATCGTTGACAAACTGCAAGGGTTATAAAGCAATGCATCGGAGATCTTGATTTGACTTCCGTCTCAAAGTGAAAAGACTGATAGACTCAAAACATCAACACATCTCAGGCTGGGGGCAGGGGCGAAATTCAGAGCATTGTGTGTGCATGAGTGCAGAAGGGTTGTGGGTATTGTGCATAAATAGCAGCACCAGAAGCAAAAATTCCAGACAGGAAGATGATCCCACTGGCTCAACATCTGCACGTTAAGCAATCATTAATCTTCTCACTGGTCGTAGGGATGCCATCCTCTCTAGGCCTGCTCAGGAGGTACTGTGGCAAGGTTTCGGCTTCACACCAAAAATGGTTTGATGGTCCCTGGCCTTTGAGCCCTAAACTCATGCCTGCCGCCCTCCATAATTTTAGTCCTTTTCAGCACTGGGGTGATTTTATCTGCTACTGTTTCTAAGCTCCTCTGGACAACCTGTTTATTGAGCATCCATCCCAATTTGCTCATGCGGCGGCACCGTAACACTCGGTTGCCTCCGCTTATCCTTTACTTGTGTGCATGAAACTATAGCAAGTGCCACAAAAACATTATGGCTGGGGCTGATGGGAGTTGTAGTCAAGCAACATTTTGTGGATATCACGTTGGCAAAGGCTGCCAGCGAGATGCAAAAGCTGTTAAAAAAAGACTGTCGCGGTACAATCCCCTCCTGACTTCAACACCCACTTCTCCCCACAGCCAGAAACCAGATGTTGTGGTGCTTTCAGGAGAACCGTATCTAACCCACTGATGAGAACACTTCTCTTACTGCTTATATGTGAGCTGAACCCTCTCCATAAGCAAACGCCAGACACCTCAGTTGCTCTCAGGCAAATCATCTTTTATTTCAGGTCCCAAAGTTCTCTGTATATAATCTCACCTCCCCTTCCTTCGGCCCTTACAATATTTAGGCCTTATTCCAGGTTCTGGATTGACAAACTTCCCGCTCCTGTCAAGTCTTGAAAGGGACCAAATCATTTCAAAGGCACCCACCCAACTGACCTCTGGCAATCCCATCAAACACACAGAAGGAGAGGCGGTAATATCCACTTTGCTAAGCTCTAACTAAGATGTTACAAAATAGATGTTTGGGGGAGAAAAAAAAAATCCAAAACCTAACCCCCGGTATTCTTACATGCACCAGAAAGGGCTCACGTGCTTTTGACATGGCATTCACTGCTGGCCGTCCTATGTTAACAGAAATACCCATCCGCCACTCGCCACCACACCAGGGCAGATTTCATCCGCTCCTCTCTCCTGGCCACCACTTGCCTGCCTGTTCCCTCCTTCCGTAGACATTACAGAGCTGTTTCCGCTGACTGGAAGGAATGCAAGGCTCCCCTGCCTGCCTGCCCCTTTAAGGTTGAGGACAAGCAGGCAAAGGCAGCTGCATCCTTCTCCTGGCAGGAAGAAAGAGCAGAGCAAGACTATGGTGCCTCCACACACTCTCAGTCTCTGCCGAAAAGAGAGCACAGACAGCCGCTCAAGGTGCTGTCTGCAAGGCTCTCCCAGGTGGATCTTTCCGGCTGAGATGCACCAGGGCAGGTAAGGCAGTCAGCGCTGGCCCACTGCAGTACGGTGCAAGACAGGGAGCGTTGGCAGGCAAGTGGCAGCAGGAGAGGACAAGCCCCATTCCTTGTCTCTTGGCAGGAGATGCGCGTGGGGCTATAAACTAAAGAAGTCCAGACTATTGTGGCGGCAGAGGTTGGTGGTCCAGGTGACGTCTGCCCGATTGGCGCTCAGCAGCATCTGCTGGAGTTCGTTGCTGACCCGGAAGAACTTCTCCTCGTCCACGTTGCCGTTGAGGAGGTTGGAGGAAGTGGGGGGCCACGGCAGGTCATCCCCATAGCAGTCTACCGGGTAGGGGTAGATGACCAGCTTCAAGTCCAAGAGGCCCACCGTCTTGTGAAGGAGGTTCTTCAGTCCTTTGGCCGAGATGGGGTTGCCAAACACGCCCAGGTAGCGGAGCCGCGAGCAGCGGCAGATGGCCGGCAGGAGGACGTTCAGGTGGGTGTCCATCATGCGGCATTCCATGATGTCCAGGTGCAGGAGAGTCGGGGCGGCCTCCATCAGCAGGCCTTGGAAAGGCTGCAGGAGGCAGTCGGAGAGGTTGTTCCCGCTGAGGTCCAGCTTCTTCAGGGCAGGGGTGTGGAGGCTTTGGGAAAGGTAGGCCAGGTCGTTGGGCAGAAGGTAGCAGAAGGCCAGCTCCAGGCTCTCCAAAGGGCTTTGCAAGTCACTGTGGGGACAGGAAAAAGGCCACCGTTAATAATAATAATAATAATAATAATAATAATAATAATAATAATAATAATAATAATAATTTATTATTTGTACCCCGCCCATCTGGCTGGGCCTCCCCAGCCACTCTGGGCGGCTTCCATAGAAACCAAAGATACAGTAAAATATCACAGATTAAAAACTTCCCTGAACAGGGCTGCCTTAAGATGTCTTCTGAATGTCAGGTAGATGTTTCTTGCTTTGACATCTGATGGGAGGGTGTTCCACAGGGCGGGCGCCACTACCGAGAAGACCCTCTGCCTGGTTCCCTGTAGCTTTGCTTCTCGCAGTGAGGGAACCGCCAGAAGGCCCTCGGCACTGGACCTCAGCGTCCGGGCAGAACGATGGGGGTGGAGACGCTCCTTCAGGTATACCTGGCCAAGGCCGTTTAGGGCTTTAAAGGTCAGCACCAACACTTTGAATTGAACACGCCCTCCAGCTAATTCAGCCCCTGATTACTTTCAAACATTTGAAGTATTTTTACTTGCAAACTAGCAACTTTTTCTCTCTCCTTCTTTTTCTCCTTTTGTGTCCTGTCATATTAGACTGCAAGCCTGAGGACAGGAGTTATTTTGTTATTTAGCATAAGCACCCTAGGACTCAAGAATTGGGGGGGGGGGGAATCTAGACCACTCGCACTGTAGCCAGCCAGTTCCTTCTCTGTGTTGATCCTCCTTTACTTATCCAACTTATATACTGCTCTTTATGCAAGATCTCATGAGTGGGTTACGTAAAAACTTATGATGAAACAAAAAACTTCAGCTTAGTAAATACAGTTAAACACTGAGAACAGTGTTAGAAACTGAGATATGAAAGCTAGGAGCCTAAATGGCACCTTAAACCTAGGTTATGGGCACAACAATGGAATGTCTAGGCGTGCTTGTTAAATAACAAGAATACAAAGCTGAAAATGAATCAACTGCAGCTAAAATATTATGTTCATTAAAAATATTTGTATTAAAAATTCCTTCGTTTACAAAAATACATTTTTTTCAAGTTGCGTTTTCTACAGATCAATTTAATTTGTTGTGAGACATTAGTGTTACATATTATGTTCATTTTTCACATGGTCTGGTCCTTCCCCTTCCCCTCCGCCTAATATTCTTAAGAGGGTCTCGTCTTCACAGAGTAGTTGGAAGTGGGGAGGCAGAAAAAGTCCTCCTTTTCTTCCACTCTGCAGTTTTACTCTGAAATCTTAGGCGCAGTACTGTGCACAGAGCTCAGAAACTGCTCACACTAATTAATTAGCTCACACTAATTAAATTCCCTGTCGCAAAATGCGCCTTGAACAATGGGAGTTTTGAACACTGACGGAGAAGTTCAGTTAACACCCAGAAAAACAGTCCAGGAAAAGGAGCTCCAATGATCATTCATTCACATACCTCCCCACACAGGCTTGCATAAACAAGTGTGCCTTCGAAGGATCTCTAATGTCATCAATGTGTGTGGACAGTTTTTCCTTCCATACGGAGGGAGTTCCACAACAGTAGCCAAAAGGGAACCACTGATGCATAAGAGGAAGGTATCAGTGGATTTCATGAACTCCAGAGTCTGCAGAAGCACCAACTTCGCCCCCCCCCCTTTAGAAAAAACTGTGAGTGGAGTGCTGGATGAGTGCCTGGTGGAGCAGAGGGGAAACCAGAAACAGAAACCAGAGGGAGGCGAGAATGACATGGAGTATTCTGGAAAAGGGCTGAAATCCCTCTTTACACTGTGAGTTTTTTCTTTGCGGGTTGGAACTTCTGATAAATATAAATAAATGGCTTTATCTCAACCACTGCTAATTACACAATTTACAAACTTTTGGGGCCTGGAAACTGAGCCTCCTTTTAAAAAGGGGCCAGCGTGCAGAACCAAGAATCCACACAAGCACTTGCGGAGCAAACTACAGGTATATTTGTGTTCTCTCTCTGAATTTTCACGTGCCGCGCCAAAGCAGTTTTGCGCAGGCTGATGCTTCAACTGAAGAGGCTGCTTTAACGCCCGAAAGTGGAAGTTACAGGAATTACCAACGACTGTGGAGTGGCAGGCGAAGATGATGGACTTTGCAGAACTGGCCAAACTGACCTGCAGGATTTGAGTCCATGACAATCAAAAATTTCAAAGGGACTGGAGTCAATTTATTGTATATTTGAATAATAATTGCAAAAATCTGAAGACACTAGCAGGACTAGTGAGATAAATCCTACAATGTGGACAGGAGGTTAAAGAGCTAAAGTGTGAGATAGGACTTGAAAGTGGAAAACCTGCTGAAGGGAGGGAAGCCACAGGCTCGGCAGAGCTGAAAGTAACTGTGTATGTTATTGTACTGTTGAAAATATTGTTTAAGGAGAAAAATAATAATAAATTATTATTTTTTATAAAAAAGAGGCTGCTGCGCCACGGAGTCAGCAGCGTCAAGGAGGTGGAAAAGAAAAGCAGGGAAAGGCTGCAGGTCAGCATCTGCTTTGTATGCAGAAGGCCCAAGGGTTCAATCCCCGGCATCTCCAGGTAGGACTGGGACCATGCCCTGCTGGAAATCCTGGAAAGCTGCTGCCAGTCAGTGTAAGGCAAAGTGATGCCCTCCAGTGGCTGCTAGACTCCCAAAATGCCCTGGCTGGCAAGACTGATGGACATTTGTTGGGGACTGAAACCGGGAAAGGGGGGGGTGGAGTTTGGGAATCCAAAGGGTACATAATTACAATATGTTCTGTTTTTATTTTGTTTTGTTATTTGTATGAAAATTGGGGAATTCGTGGAAGGTAATTTGGGTCGACTTTAGAAAAAATGTTTTAAGAATGAGTATTGATGTATAAGTATTGATGTTTAAGTTTGGATAAGGCAAAATTGGTTTTTTAAAATGAACTAAATAGAAATAGGTTAAAAATTACGGATAAGGATTTGCTGAACTAACAATTTGAATTGGAATACAAGAAGGGGAGGTGTGAGGTGGTCAGGGAAATATGTTATTGAAAAATAAGTATTGGGAACTTTATGTGTTTTTAAACTTTTTTGCTTTTTCTTTTTTGACTCTTTTTTATTGTATTAAATTTGAAAACTTCAATAAATATCTTTAAAAAAAAATAAAATGCCCTGGCTGGGTTGATGGGTGCTGGGAGCTCAACACCACCTGGAGTACACCAGGTTGGCTACCCTGGTGTAGACAATACTGAGCAAGATGGATGAGGGGTCTGATTCAGGGGAAGGCAGCTACCTATCTTCCTAATCAGTTTTAAATTGTGGTACTGAACTTCAGAATGCATGATCTGTATGGCGGATGCTTAAGAACTGAACGAAGAGCCTGCTGGATCAGGCCAAAGGTGGCCCATCTAGTCCAGCATCCTGTACAGTGGTACCTTGGGTTACATATGCTTCAGGATACATACGCTTCAGGTTACAGACTCCGCTAACCCAGAAATAGTACCTCGGGTTAAGAACTTTGCTTCAGGATGAGAACAGAAATCGTGCGGCGGTGGCACGGCGGCAGCGGGAGGCCCCATTAGCTAAAGTGGTGCTTCAGGTTAAGAACAGTTTCAGGTTAAGAACAGACCTCCGGAACGAATTAAGTATGTAACCAGAGGTACCACTGTACTCCCAGTGGCCAACCGGATGCCTGTCGGAAACCAGCAAGCGGGACTCGAAAAAAAGAGCACTGTCCCCTGTGACTTTCAGGCACTGGTCTTCAGAAGCATTGCTGCCTTCAACTGCGGAAGCAGAGCACAATGGCTAGTGGCCATTGATAGAAGAAGAAGAGAAGGGGGAGTTTGGATTTGATATCCCGCTTTATCACTAGCCTAAGGAGTCCCAAAGCGGCTAACATTCTCCTTTCCCTTCCTCCCCCACAACAAACACTCTGTGAGGTGAGTGGGGCTGAGAGACTTCAGAGAAGTGTGACTGGCCCAAGGTCACCCAGCAGCTGCATGTGGAGGAGCGGGGAAGCGAACCCAGTTCCCCAGATTATGAGTCCACCGCTCTTAACCACTACACCACACTGGCTCTCACAGGAACTGCTTTGCAAGGTTTTCGGAGGCTCCCTGTAACACAACTGCCCCTCTGTTTCCCGCCCCTGTTCTGATGGCAGTTCCCTGACAGCATCCATGACAGATGGCCATTCTGCCTCTGCTTAAAAACCTCCAAGGAAGGAAAGCCCAACACCTCTCATGGGCTTGTGTATCAGTGTGTGGTTAGACACACACCCCACAACAAACTCTGTGAGGTGAGCGGGGCTGAGAGACTTCAAAGAAGTGTGACTGGCCCAAGGTCACCCAGCAGCTGCATGTGGAGCAGGGAATCGAACCCGGTTCACCAGATTACGAGTCCACTGCTCTTAACCACTACACCACACTGGCTCCCTCCTCCATGAATTTGTCTATTCGTCTTTTAGTAATAATAGTAATTTTATTATTGATGTGTTGCTCGTCTGACTGGTTCACCCCAGTCATTCTGGGCGGCTCCAGCAAAATATAAAAACACAATAAAACATCAGACATTAAAAACTTCCCTGTACAGGGAAGCCAGCTAGGTTGGTGACCATCACTGCCTCCTGGGGGAGTGAGTTCCATACTCTCTTAACTATGCCGTGTGCGCTATGGAAAAACATTATTGATTAATATACTTAAGGAGGACAGTGATACATTTCCGAGCACAATTCAAAGTGTTGGTCTGACCTTTAAAGCCCTAAACAGCCTCTGCCCAGTATCCCTGAAGGAGTGTCTCCATCCCCATCGTTCAGCCTGGCGGTTCCCTCCCTGCGAGAAGCCAAGTTACAGGAACCAGGCAGAGGGCCTTCTTGGTGGTGGCGCCCGCCCTGTGGAACGCCCTCCACCAGATGTCAAAGAGAAAACAACTACCAGACTTTTAGAAGACATCTGAAGGCAGCCCTGTTTAGGGAAGCTTTTAATGTTTGATGTATTACTGTATTTTAATATTGGGTTGGGAAGCCGCCCAGAGTGGCTTGGGAAACCCAGCCAGATGGGTGGGGCAGAACAAATAAATAGTATCATTAAGCTGTTACTGGAATTCTGCCACTCTCTTTTCTCTCCTCATAGCTTTCCTTTCCTTTTTGGCTTTTCTCTTTATTGTTGGTACTAATTGCTTGCTGTGAAAACAGAAACGATGCCAAAGGACAACGATGCCCTGTGTGACAAAGTAGGGTATTAGCAGAAGGACTTCCGGGTTGGTGCCTCTGGGCAATGGCGGATTTCCTTCTGATCGGGAGGAATCTGCTCCGTGGAAATTTGGGTCTGGCCGCTACGGCGAAAGCGGAGACCTGTTAAAATCACAGGCGGGAGAAGCCTGTGAACGTGGGATTCGGCGGGCACCTTTTGCGCCTCCCCTACTCGGGGGAAACCCGGTTTCGGGGATCCGGAGCGATGTGGGGTGAGTGGCGCGGTGCTTCGAATCGTCTGCTTCTTCCACGGAGCGAAGCCGCATAGCTGTTGCCGGAGAGCACTGACTTTTTCCTGTGGACAATTTGGACTCTAAAGTAATTACCCGTGAGTAGAGCTGATACGGGAGAATCGGATTTTAAACGTTTAATTTGGCATCGAAACGGGGAGGTTCAAAACAGGAAGTCCGCCTTCCCTATTTGTAAATAGACTGAGGCAAGGACTCTGTAAGCTGAAGTCTTGGAAAGCCTTTTGTAAAAGATTAAATTTCCATCGGCAAAGAGTATAAAACCCCCTTGGAGGCAGGAGAAGAGGGGGGGAGTTGTGGACTAGTATGCCTGCAGGAGAGAGTAAAGAGAGGTAAAGGACTGCCGCTCTGACCCTGGAAACGGGCTGCTAGTAGGACTGACGTTTTGGAATGTCCATTGACAGCACTTAGAACATTCCTTGACAGCTAGCAAAATAAGAGAGATATATTGTTTCTACTGTCTCCGGCTGCTTCTAAAAAGGAGTAATAAAGTAACTGAAAACTGAAACTAACTTTGGATTGTACGAGTTGCACTTAAAGGTGATATTGTTGATTATTATAAATAGAAACTGTTTCCCCCTAGTGGAAGTTTCTGAAATTGGTTACTTTTAAGAGCTGGGCTAGGGGAGTTTCCAGCTGCAAGATAAGAACTGTGTGACTCAGGGACTGACCTTGAATCTTTTAAGTGTTATGGCAAATGGAAAGGAAAGAACAGATGAAATGTCAACAGAAGAGGCCTTAGTGGTCGCATTATTGAAAATAAATGACTCGTTGGAACAGCTTCATAAGAAAACAGATTTGATGAATGAAAGGCTGGTGAAAGTAAATGCTGCAAATATTAAAATTGATTTAATGGCAGAAAGTTTAAATAATCTGGGACAAAAGGTGAACATCAAAACAGAAACCACCCAGAAATTGACACAGGAATCTACTTTAACGGCAAACTGCGGATGAAGTCAGGGAAACCTTTGCTGCTGAATGTAAAACAACACAATTGGAGTGTGAGAGAGCCCCACACATTCAAAAGCAACTTGACGAATATAAGCTGACCCCACCAGAACTGGGAAAGGAAAGTTTGACAGAGCTTCAGGAGGAGACAGGATCAACATCGGCTGAGAAAGAGAGATTTTTGGGGGTCAGAAGGACCGCCAAAAATGTGAATTTACTTAAGGGTAACTGTGAAGGACGTTGGATTGAAGCGAAGGGGGATTGGGAAATATGGATAAATCTGAAGTTGTTATGGTAGTGCCGAGCTGCTGTGGTGGGAAATTGAGAGCTAGCAGGGCAGCAGTTGAAGAAGGAGCAAAAAGGGTTTTCTTGTGTGTGTCTTTGTGGCTGATTAGCTGCTCTCTCTGTGCAAAGGTCAGAGGGGCAGGGTTTCTGTTGAGGTAGGTGATTAGCTGTGGGAGGAGCTTATCAGAGCTTTAGGGCAGCAGCTGAAGAAGGAGCAAAAAGGGTTTTCTTGTGTGTGTCTTTGTGGCTGATTAGCTGCTCTCTCTGTGCAAAGGTCAGAGGGGCAGGGTTTCTGTTGAGGTAGGTGATTAGCTGTGGGAGGAGCTTATCAGAGCTTTAGGGCAGCAGCTGAAGAAGGAGCAAAAAGGGTTTTTTTGTGTGTGTCTTTGTGGCTGATTAGCTGCTCTCTCTGTGCAAAGGTCAGAGGGGCCAGGGTTTCTGTTGAGGCAGGTGATTAGCTGTGGGAGGAGCTTATCAGAGCTAGCAGGGCAGCAGTTGAAGAAGGAGCAAAAAGGGTTTTCTTGTGTGTGTCTTTGTGGCTGATTAGCTGTTCTCCCTGTGCAAAGGTCAGAGGGGGCAGGGTTTCTGTTGAGGCAGGGGATTAGCTGTGGGAGGAGCTTATCAGAGCTAGCAGGGCAAGCGTTGAAGAAGGAGCAAAAGGGTTTTCTTGTGTGTGTCTTTTGTGGCTGATTAGCTGTTTCCCTGTGCAAAGGTCAGAGGGGGCAGGGTTTCTGTTGAGGCAGGGATTAGCTGTGGGAGGAGCTTATCAGAGGTAGCAGGGCAGCAGTTGAAGAAGGAGCAAAAAGGGTTTTCTTTGTGTGTGTCTTTGTGGCTGATTAGCTGTTCTCCCTGTGCAAAGGTCAGAGGGGCAGGGGTTTCTGTTGAGGCAGGGGATTAGCTGTGGGAGGAGCTTATCAGAGCTAGTAGGGCAGCGGCGCGCGCCGCAGTTTGATCCATCTTTTAGATTTAGGGGAGCTAGTCTCAAACGTTTGTTTGGGAGGAGCCTAGGGTTTGTTTTTTTTTTGTGTGTGGGGATTATTTGTCCTGTCTTTCACACTTTTTATGATGGAGGACCGCTGTAGCCCACCCCTCAACGACACGTTACTCAAGATGGAGGAGGAGGGAACAGCTGCAGTCCGCTGCCGGTTCCTGCGCAATGTTTGCATCTTGCCAAAGATTGCAGGCAGCTTACCTGCAGCAATTGCATGTTGATTGCTCTCTTAAAAGACAAAGTCCAGCAACTGGAGGAACGTGTAGCTACGCTCCAAAGAATTAGAGAGCTGGAGCTCTTCTTGGAAGCAACAGAGCACACCGTCTCCACAAGGAGGAGACAGGGGATCCCCTGTGAAGGAGGCTAGCTCACCAAACACAGGAGCCAGATATGGAGAAACGTGACTCAAAGAAAGTAGGAGGCCCAGGGTTCGCCCTGATTGTTTAGAAATACGCAATCGCTTTGAGGTCCTCCTCCCTAGCATGGAAGACGAAGAGCACACTCCATTTGAGGATCTCTCCCTCATTACAGTCGATCAGGTTATATGAAGAAACGAA